CAGAGCTGCAGACTATCAGCTGCTCTGACGACACCAACAGCCTGAATATTTCCAAGTGGTGTTAGGACCTGAGAATTGACCTAAAGATCAGCACTGGTCACCAAGGGCTGCAGGGATGACTGTGCTGGTGGCCTATGACTAGGAAGAGAAACAGCAAGGAAGGAGATAACCTGAGCTGTGCACTTTTCGCTGTCTGGAGTGCACAGCCATTTTGAGTCTTTACAAGTGGTGGCTGTTTGGATTTTAAAGTGACAGCATTCTCATTCAGATTCCAGGGGCCTAAAACTGGGCTCTGTTTGCCAAGACGGCTGGGATATATGAGAGGTTGACAACAGGAAAGGAGACAAGTGGTCAATGTACAAGCGCTGCCAACTAGCAAACAGAGGAGCACAGCACAGTACCCTGCTTATGTAGATAACATACAAACAAAACAAAAATCATGGACAAGTCACTACAACATACAAAAAGATGGAAACAACTTACTTGCCCATCAACAGAAGAGTGGATGACCAAACTATGGTACATACACACAATGGAATGCTATGCAGCACTAAAGAATAATGTAGAGTCTGCAAAACACTGCATAATATGGGTGAACTTGGAGGACATTATGCTCTGGGAAATAAGTTAATCACAGAAGGACAAATATAGTATTAGTTCATTGTTGTGGAGGGTCAAGGAAAGGTTTATATATGGAGGGAAACATTCTTTGCTGGTTGGCAGGGGTGGGAGGGGAGAGGAGGGAACACCGCAAAAAAAAAAAAATGCATTGACCCATGTCACTTTAGTTTTGTATATTTCACTGTACATAAATTATATTTCAATGAAATGCATTAAAAAAAGAAAAAAAAAAAAGATGCTCAGTTCTTTCACTCTGTGGGTGCGTTGCGCACTGTAGCTGCCTTGCTTGGTAGGCTGGAAAGCTCACTGCTCACAATCTCATATCACTCTCTTGGTTCTGTTGCCACTATGCCTCTGTAACCGGATTCTGCCATGCTTGCTGCTGCTTCTCATCATCTTCAGTATTACAGCTCTCTCTGTCTTCTGGGTCTAGGATGTTTTCTGCACAGGGCCCTAGGATTCAAGATGAGTTCTGCTCCCAGCTTTCCTTTTTGGTGGTAGTGAGGTCTGCCCGTTTCTGAACTTGGCTCCTTTTAAGCTTAGAAGGATGACAAAAATGACCAGTCCTTTTGTTAGGGTTTCATATACCTGATTTGCATAATCCCACCCCCACAGGGTACAGAATTAAGTGCACACACTCTCTGATGATATTTCTCCTAGACATCAATAGCTAGCCAACTTCACAGTATCTCAGAGGCCAGATTCTAAAGGCTTGTGTTCCAGAAAAAACTCTGGACCTTGCACCTTATTTGTGTTATTAGCAATGCTTTCCTATACCCTTGGTGGACAACAAGAACTTTATTTACATAATCTCACTCAATCATTTTATGGGAGTCCCAAGACCATGCAAAGCTAGAAGGGCCATGTTAAGTAATCCACTGCACCAAAGAATTCCACCACGAAGCTCTCTACACCCTCCCTGCCCTACAGCCTGGAAACTGCCTGGGCAGTGAGCTGGGAACTTTCAGGCTCACCTCACTTATATCCTTTTTCTCCAGGGTCACTATCCTGTACTGCCTGCTATCTGAATGCCAATAGTTCAGATGCTTTGCCTACTCGTTCTAGTTGTTTAAGGTAGGAGGGTGTGATAGTTATGGTTGTGTGTCAACTTGGCTGGGCCATGACTTTCAGTAGCTTGGCAGCTGGATACAGTTATTTCCCATGATGAAATTGGATGTAGTATAATTAACTCCATGGTAGAATCTGCTGTGAGCAACTAATTAGTTGCCTTTGAGGTATAGCCTGCTTTCAGCGTATACGCGGAAGCTTTGAGGAAGGTCTCTAGCTTTTTGGCATGTTTGGGTCCTACATCTGGCCAAGTCTTCAGCTCCAATTCCTGGACTGCCTGCCATGTTTCCTATTGATCTTGGGATCATGCCATTTTACCTGCCAACCTTGGGTTTGTCAGCCTCAGCAGGCAGTACCTGTCTGAGTTATGAGACACCTCTAGCTCTAGCAGGCCTAGAATAAGAGGCAGAGCTAAAACCCGAGGTCGAGGGGCCTTTACCCAGCCCCTAGAGTTGGCATTCTGAATTTGGACTTCTATCCTCCTAAACTGTAAGAGAATAAATTCCTGTTTTTTAAAACCATTTATTGTGGTATTTCTGTTACAGCAGCACTAGAGAACCAAGACAGAGAATAAATCCAGTTCTTAGTACTTTATCATGGTCAGAAACAGAGGTTGCATTCAAGAGTACAAGTTCACTGAGTGTGGAGACCTTTCTCATCTGCTCACTGCTGCACCACTAATGCCCATAAAAATGCCTGCTGTTGTTGCTATTGCTGTTGTGTGTATCAAGTTGATTCTGACTCAAAGCAACCCCCATATGACAGAGAACTGCCCCACAGGGGTTTCCTAGACTATAATCTTTACTGAAGCAAATCACCAGGTCTTTCTGGGTGAGTTCCGTTTGCCAACTTTTTAGTTTGCAGCCAAGCATTAAACCTTTGAGCCACCAGGATTCCTTATACAATGATTAGAATCTAGTAATGCTTCAGTAGCACTGATAAATTAATGAACAAATGGAAACAAATGAAAGGGAAATTCATTAAATCCTGTTTTTTTTCTTTAAGACCTTTTTCTCTTCTTTGGGACAAAGTGGCACAGCTAATTTTACCTCATTCATAATCTTGAGCCATTTTGCCTTAGCTGAGTATCTGCTAGTGTAATACAAGGTTTCTCCCCAAATTCACTCTTGATTTCCCAGGTTTGGCCTTCATACTTAATTCAAGAAAGTGATGTTAGGAAATGTAAGAGATTTACCAATGGAGCACATCTGGGTTAATTATTTATAAGATGTATGTTCTGCCTGTGCTTTAAATAAAAAGGTTTGAGAAAATATTGATGTGGGAAAAGTAAGTGAGTAGTATTATTGTCATTAGGGAACTGAGGAGCCAGTTTGCTGATGAAAAATAAATGATGGGGCACTGAGAAAATAAGAGAGGCAAGAGATAAGAAAGGAGTCTGCCTACCAAAGAACACAAATTATAAATTCAATCAGTCCATATCAAACAAAGGTGGCTATATGTGGAGAAAGTGGTTTCTGCTTTTATTTCCACATTCACAGACTAATTAAATTAAAAAAAAAAAAAGTTATTACCATTATCAACAGCATTATGAGACCATTTATGATATAAAACTCACTGCTGTCAAGTCGAATCTGACTCATAGTGACCCTTCCTTGGGTTTCCAAAGTGGTATCTCTATGGAAGTAGAATGCCCAGTCTTCCTTCCAAGTAGTGGCTGGTGGGTTTGAACCGCCAGCCTTCTGGTTAGCAGTCAAGTGCCTTAGGCACTATGCTACCAGAGCTCCTATTTATTACATAGTAGGTGCTATTTGATTTATCCAGAAATCTGGTTGTATCTTGATTATACAGCTTTGTTTATTTGTTTTTAACTGAATATATTAGATTTTTTTATCACACATATAAAATAATAGATAGTTGTTACATTAAACCAAAAATGCAGAGGTAGATAAAGGGTAAGTTAGAAATCTCTGACTTTAATTGCACTCCCCTGAGGTAATCAATATTAACAATTTAGTGTGTATCCTTCTATATGTTTCTCAGTGTTGTTCTGAACACATAGAAACATATTTATATACACAGTGAGTGGCTGGGTTTATAAAAATGTGTTGTTGTTGTTGTTGTTATGTGCCATCGAGTCAAACCTGACTCATAGC